TTCTGCGCACATTCGGATCATCTAAAGATTTCAATTCTTCCTGCTTTTGTTTCAAGAGGATATCCGGGATATAACGGAACTCTTCATCCGTTTTCTCATGAGTTTTCACAGTGATTTTGACACCAACAGGAACATGCGTTCTAACTAAGTTCACAAACAGTTGTAAACGCGGAGCAGGAACATTTCCTAATCGAACCACTCTAGAATTAATAATCAACATGATAAATTGAATTAACTCCTAACCTGTCGAAATGTGACAATTCCAAATCGTTGTCCACAACAGTACTGTTTGGTTTATAAGTAACTGCTTTTTCTGTCTGACAAGCCACAGCATAACTGAATAACTTTCCTTTATATAAGCCCAGATGTTCAAAACCTGTCTATGATATCAAAACCAAACTTTCGAGCCAAGCGATCTACATAGGATTGAAACTTTTCCAAAGGTACATAGTCGGGACCCTGCATTCTGACATTAAGGTTTTCAAATCTAGAACAGAAAATAATTGAAATTGTTAGGTTTTTCCATGACTACTCTGGGTATATCTTAGTATCAATGAACTTTGGTTCATAGAGTAGAGATGGATCCTGTTCTCCTGCGACTTCTCTAAGAGAAGCCCATCTTTTAGTTACATTCAGAACTGGCGAACTTATTTTACGGAGCATGAGCTAAATAGAAAATGAAGATGGAAGTTCTCCGCATCAAATATCCGTTGATGAACGACTGTAAGGAATCAGCTAAGAAAGTATTCGGAATATTTATAATGTACAAATATGAACATGAGTGTAGTTAAAATAAACGGTGTTTAGGAATCTCTGGATAAGGTGCCGTTCCGTAATTCGATGAATAATGTTGCTCACGAAGTAAATTATTGAGTCTCTCCGATTTAATTTTTCTATAAGCTTTATCATAACAACAATTAGAGAAATCGTAGTACCTCAAATGAGCTATTTTCTTTCTTTGCTGGAAATCTTTCAAGAATATGTCTATTGGCACATTTTGCTCATACAACTCTTTAGCTAAAGCCTGGAGGAAACTTTTACACTATATTTTCAAGCGTACAATACCTCAGCATCATCATCTGCTTCCTGAGCAGCAACCATAAGCAGGTTATTGACCACTTCAAGAGACTTTGACCCACCATCTGTATCTATAACACAACAAATGATGCTTCTAATAGCTTTTGTTCTGATCACCTAATTTTCCTTTCAAAACCTCGACGTCAGTTTTCAAACTTTTGGCATTCGTATGTGACTGCCTCATCTAAAGCAGGAACTCTGTAGGAACTCAAAGAGAATGAAGCATACTTTATCTTTCAATTGATCGAGTCTTGGTTTTTGAGCTAAGTTCCATTCAGCCAAGGCTTTATTTTCAGAAAGCCCCATCTCTCTCTCTGAGGGTAAATTACGAACCTATCAATGCTTAGTGGAATATGTTTTAAAACATGAAGCATACTTGAGGTAAACTTTGGATAATTGTTGTAACACGCTCGTCATTCCGGAGTAGTTCTTCAAGCTGCTCTGTTGTAAGATTCCTACATGAAAGCATTGCAGAGTTCACACAATGATCAAGAATAGAGTCATAACCGTTTTCGACTTTAAACATCTCTTAAACCTGAAAAAAAAACAACTTTTAGAATTACAACACAAAGAAATAACTCCAATAGAAATAAAGTCAAAGAAACTGCTACATAGAAAAAAAAAAGAAGAAAAAGTCACAAATCAGAGAAGCAATTGCTGATGAGGGGCTGAAACTATTAATATTGAGATGTAGCAGTGGAGCACGCTTCAAACCTAACGTTTGTTTCCATTGATGAATCACAACTTTTTGGACTGGAAGCTACATAACAATTTCGCAATCAAAGCGAAAGCTTGTTCTGAAGCTGTAGGCTCATAATAATGGCCGGCGAGAATATTTTGGTTCCTCTCCAGGTACTGATGTTGCAATTACAACTATACTTATGATCATGTTCAGAGACCAAGTCAAGGATCTGCTGGAAAAAAATTCGATGCATTGGTTAACTATTTCAAAATTCCGAATGATGTCATAGGATTACCGGTTTGAGGGAATATGTCATTTTCACACTTATGTTTAAGTTCGTCGAATACAATGTGGACATGAGCTATGAAATAATAGATCCGGACGGGATTATAGACGACAAATGGCAGATACCAAATAGGTTAAACGAGATACTTTCTCCTAATTACCTGTTCAACAGAACTGTGCGACGACAGCTTTTCTGGAACTGTTGTGATCATCAAGATCTCGTGATATATGATGATTGGAAAGTAGCTTTTTTTGCTGGAGGAAAATCTAGGGACCATATTAAGATTATTAAGGAAATACCACTAGTGAAGTTGTGATTTAGTTTGAATCAAACTCTCAGTTACAGGGACGGAATCGAGTCGCTTTTGTCGTCATCAAGCCGCTTTCGCGACCTTTTTGTATAAACATAACCGACCAACACATAAACATATCGCTATCATCCGAAATGCTATTGAAGGCATTGGTAACTCAAGGAACTAGAGTGGTTTCAGAAACGGGGTTAGTGGTCGAGAATTTACAATCAAAAGTTTCTATAGAAATTTCTTTTCTCATGGTGGAGCTGTGTACCCTGTGCCAGGGAGGACCAGATCAGCTTGGGATGTAAAAAATAATTTATATTAGGATAAATAACTTTGTTCACCTTTTTTAGGTAAAGATTCATAACGATATAAGAGCCTGGGTAGGACTGTACGCAGGAGTTAGAAGTTTATCCAACAGAGACCCAGTTATCAACTATGCGCGTGAGTAATATCTGAAGTTATTTCTTGTTTATACAAAATATTCAAGTAACTCACAAGCTCTTCCATCAAATGGATATAGATCTAGTCACATTTTTTGTTGAAGTATTGCACTCGGTATGTAATTATATCGGTTTCTTATCCTCTGCTTTTGAGCTTGACGAAAGCAAGCAAGCAAAATCGTATAGAGCACAACTACATAATCTCGCCATAAAACCTGAACATACTAAAAGGTTGAACATCGCATTAAAAGATCTCAAAGTGAGGGTGAAAGAAAAAGGTAAACGGGCTATCGATTTCAAAAAGGATGGACCATTTTTCGTTGTTAGACATGGCGTTGTTAATAACGTACTTGGTGAGTTAACGGTTACCTTTAAAAAAATCATATTATGTTAGAACACACCGCCAATACCTTCGGTTGTAGAATACGGAATCGTAACGAACGCTTAGCCGATGTATATGCGCATATGGGTGCAGAATTAGAGTTGATGCACTTACTATATATCCCCAACACAACAAAGTTTCAGGTATCCAAACTTGCCAATTATCGAAGTTGTATGTCAGAAGAAAAAACTGTACTTGCCTATGGAGGTAAATTCTCAACCACCACGTATGTACATCCGTTCAGGTCCTTCACACATACGACACGCCAACGGCGTATAATAACTGTTTTAAGTATTTTTCTGAACAAAAGAGATATATTGAGGTTTTTGTAACATACAATGTTCCTAAGCGGAAATTGTCTTTAGAGAGTGAGTCATAACCCTACCGAGTACGTCCATCTCCTTCTGAGGACTGTGGAAGAGTTTTCTGAAAAAGCAAAGAAACATGGATTCCGTGAGGTAACGACTAGAACGGTACTTAAACAAATCATTCTGAAGGGCATAGTCGATCCGGTATTGCTTGAAGTACAAGGAAGGCGTTTGAAGCTGCCCAAACTGTTAGCAAAGGTATAATTCAGATGAACACTGTCATTCTTCATTCTACTAGTCTTAGAATGGATCGCAGGTGCAATTTCATGACGACTACACCTACAGAGTGAAAGAATTGAATAGTTAGTGATGACGAGTATAAATTAATCAAGATTAAATAGAGTGTCCTGAACAAAAAGTACACTTTTCCTTAATTCATGTTCTCGAGGGAGAGGAGACGGAAAAGAAGCAGCAACACATTAGGTAGGAATTTCGAATAGAGAAGAAACACTTCACATGTTTTCACAGGTTGTTCTATGAAACCCTGAAGCCTAAACTTGAAGAAAGGGGGATCAAGGTATCTGATTCTTCTCCTCGCCTTCACTTAGCATCTGTAGGAAAGGACCTACCTAGATACAATAGCATTCATTCAGTAACAAAGAGAGTTTTTCAACTTATTAATAGAATATGCTCAGATTGTTGAAGAGGAACGCACAGAATGTATCAAGGCTTACGGTGACAATTTTCGTGAAAAGTTGGCTCCCTTATTTCTAATAATTTTCGAAAACATGAAAACTCAATACGGTATAAAATGTGCATACAATCATATAGCTTCTAAATTTTAGGATATGTAAAATCGATCATGGATACAGAGTATGGATTCGCGAACCAGGGTATAGATGAAGCAACAATAACGAAGGCTGTTTTCGAACCGGACCAGTCTAGGTTTTAGAGGTTTCGAAACATTAGCGACAATTTGATTCTCAGATCGATATACTACAATCTTACGTTAAAGATTAATGCCAAACTTGGTGGCCTCAACATTGAAGCAGAAAACGTTGAAACAGAGGACAATAACACAAAGTGAACTCGCATTTTATAGTGATTCTATAATTTCAACTTAGAATGGAGAAATTGATGTATATAGGGATGGACTGTACACATCCATCCGATGTAGATAATGTAATGAAAATATCCCTAGCTGCCATGACAGGTAGCACTGATAGTACGGGTACAAAGTAAGATAACACATAATGTTCCTTTAACCATTACTATCCGACCTTAGATATAATACCGAAGTTTACGCTCAATTAACCGCGAAAGAACAAATCGACTATTTCCATCGGCAGTTCACAAGCCTCATCTTCAAATATAAAGAAGTTTCTAGATTACGCTGAACAATCATATAAATTTTTTAGGAGAATGGGTACTACCCCGAACACATAGTTGTCTACCGCGATGGTGTATCGAACAGCCAGTTATTGGGAGTTGCTGCTGATGAAATTCAGAGCATGCGGTTTTCTATTAATAACTTCTAGATAACCTCCCTCGTTCTAGCGGCGCATGGAGTAATCTAGAGGATGGACATTTAAGAAAGCCAACTTTCACTTATATTGTTTTACAAAAAAGACACGGCACACGATTTTTCGTTCCGAAAAATCATGAATATCAAAATGTAAAACCTGGAAGCGTGTTCGATAGCGTAATTTCTTCACCAATACTATACGATTTTTGGCTCTGCAGTCAGTATAGTGAAAAGGTCAGACATACAAACACAATTTAATTCATCTCGCATCTTGTTCAGCACACTATCCGCCCAGGCCATTATACCGTGGTCTATGACAATTGGAATCTCCCTCCTGACACTGTATATGTAAGAGATAATCAAATTATCCTACGGCTTCATTTCTGATTTAGGAAATGACATACAGACTCTGCTTTCTGAACGCCCGGTGCAGAAAGCCTATTTCCTTGCCTGTTTGCATTCATTATGCCGATATCGCTTGCTCCAAACTCAAAGAGAAATATAAAGCTCTTGTCATGTAAAAGCGTATGCATCAATATTTCAAATACAGTTTTTCCAGGAGAGAGACTCTAAACATGGAAAACCGAGAAAACAAGGAAACCATAGAGAGTGCGTTAAAAACACATAATCTCTACCCAGGCATGCCATATATCTGAACCTGTGAATAAATATGTAAACAAACTATTCTTCCCTGCCGAGACTATCGGAGTCTCTAGAAAGATTTATTAAATATACTACATTGATTTTGAATGAAAGTTTGAAACAAACAACCTGTACAAGAAAGCTCAGCTCTCGTTCTGTCATACTCTCATCACGTACATGAGACCAATACAACAGTATACTTTGAAGAAAAAACTATTAAGTTTGACCAATCTTGTATCTTCAAAAATTGCCAAGTATACCAGCAAAAATTCATAGCTTTACATAAGGTGTCAAGAAATTGCTTCTCAAATTTCTACCATTGCGGTGGGATTAGTAGTATCCAGATAGGTATCACCTGGAAAGTTAACATGACATACTGAAGATCAAAGCAGCTACCTGTCAAGGAAGACACCATGGTCTGTACGAGATCTTTTAAATACAACATGTTATCGTTGAACTTCAGCTTTTCATCTGTACAATGCTGTATAATTTCTTCATAACTTCTAGTCATTCCAGCTACTTCAGCCTCAGCTTCTCTCATCTTAAGACATCACTATAACTTTGCGGAACTGAAGTGGGCATACCAATTTAGACTTCTCCATTTTTACACTCATTAACTCCTTTTGATATTTTTTTAGGTCACTGCCCATGTCTTTGTACACTTCTCTCTGATGTTCCGCTTCTGTTTCCAGTTCGATGAGTCTATTCTTCAAATTATTCATCCTCTCAACATGGAGCTTGTCGTCCTTAGTACTGGATTCTTGCAGATCCTTGATCTGATGATCATAATTCTTAACAAAATATTAAAATAGTACATCGTTCGAGGGATCTAACCTGAAACTTTTCAAAAACTTGGGCTAGTTTTCGTTCAGCTTCACATAAGCAACGCGCAATTTCTCCTCTTTCGTCACCCAATTTCGCGAGTTCACTCTATACCTCAAGGTTGTCTAGATCTTCATTTTATTTATTATACCTGTAAGCTACACATTTTTTCATAATCCTCACAAAAGCCGTCCAGCTGCTTGTCAATCAAAGGGATCATATCCACTCTGCCTTTTATTTCTATCATATTCTTCCTGCATTGAAGAAACAAAACTTTCATACTCAAATCTAGACGACGAACCTTGTGTTTGCACAATCGTCTCGAAGCCGATCGAGATCTTGTCGTTGATGTTCCAGCTCAGATGATATTTTTTCTGGGGATTCAATAATACCCTTCGAAACATAGTCGAGTTGAGCATTCAAATCTTCTTTAACCGAAAGCAGCTTTTTCTAAAAAATACAAACAAAGTTTTTAAAATGGCTTCCTTTCTAACTTTCTCCTCATTGGCGTCCTCAATTTGTTGAATACATTCTTTGCGGAGCTCTACATATGAACTCGCTTCTTTTAGATGTTTCTGTAGGAGTGCTGATTGTTTTCCAATTTCGACACGCAGCTATAATAACGCGTTGAATTAAAACATTTCTTCAACAAACCTACCGCATTTTCTCGTCTACTCCTCGATTCTCTTTCAGCTTTTAAGTGCGACTTGCGTTTTTCTTCCCTGTCGATCTGAGAACAATTAACTGTCAGTCACTCACAACAAACTTACTTTCTCTTTCAAATCATCTAATTGCCTTTTCTGATCTTCATATTGCTTGGACACAGTGGAAAAAATAGGGTCATAGATCTGAGTAATCATTTAAGAGTGTTGTCTATGAGTCAATTTAAAAACTTTGTGAAACTTCAGAAACTCCGACACTAGATAGAGCAGCTTTCTCGTTTTTTTAGGTTCGGGACTAATCAGATCACAAAATGCAACTCTAGCATCAGGTTCATGAGAAAAATCTGCAACAAAACTGTTCCTAAAATATATGAACTGAGGGGCAGATCTAGAAGAAGGGCTAACATAGTCACGTATAGTAGAGCCACAGGAATGGAACGAGCATGTGTTTCCATCAGCTCTGACGCATCAAAATCTAACAACGGTAAGTTCATCATTGAAGTTTCCGGTATATTCATAGTGGCTACTAGGAAAGTTCGTAGTATATGTTGCAAGCTTTCAGCCTAAAACTTTAATCAGACAGATATTATGTAAACCGAACCTTTGGATTAACAACATCGTCTATTTCGATATCTAACTGT